TGATTTTTCCTTTTTGAAATGGATACTGTTGTCCATACTTCTTTATCTCCTTCATTTGAGTATGATAATTCCTTGCATGAGTCATCTTTTGGGCTGTCTTTATTATTCTAAAAACAGAAGGGACATTTTTGTGCTATATGTCCCAATCTGCGGCATTTTGTACAAAGGAAATTTTCACCTTCATAATGAATTGTTTGTTCATAGATAAATGGTTGGACTGGCATTTCAAGGGGTAATTCCAGACATAATCTTGCATAGCGACCTCGGAGGGTTGTTGATGTGCAAACGTCAATTTTAAGTAATCGGTCAATTGCATTGCCAATTTTTTCCAAAATTTTCCCATCATAAAATTCTGTGGGTAATTGAGGAAGTCTAATCCAAACAGCTAATTTAGTGACCTTTTCTTGAGTCGCAACAAAGTTTGGTTTCCATCTAATGATGGAGAAAAAATGCCCGTTTATGAACCAAGGACCTTGATGCATTGCCTTGTCCATATTCTCTTTTCTTTTGAACTTAATGATGTAGTAGTCCATCCCCAGGTCAATCAGTTGGAAATCCTCTGTTGGCTTCCATAGTTCTTAAATTTTTTTCTTTAGATAGTGATGTAGCATGTGTTTGCCCACTAGCTTTATTATGATGGAGTTTTTCCATGGCTCGTAGATGCGTGCCTTATCTTCAGAGGATAGGGATATGCACTTGATGCCTTCTGAGATTGACAAAGAAGGTTGATCAATTGATTGATCATCCTGATCCAACAATAGAGAGTTTTGGTCTTGATCATTTCCTAAAGTGGTGAATAGCATAGGATTTGAGGTGATGAGCATGTCCTTGAAGCTAGGTTTGGTTCTACTTTGATCAATATCTGGGGGTTTAGGGGGGATTGAAAAATAATTGGATGAGGTAGCATTCTCTTTCAGTTTCTTGACAGACTCCCCTCTATTTATATCATTCCTTATTATCATTATTAATATTTATTTCTTTTAGACCCATGTTTCCTCCTTTATCAATTCCTTTTCCCACTCCCTTTTTCGCTTCTTTTTCTTCTTCTTTGTTTTTTAAATCTTTTCCGTCACATGTATGTCTCCTTAATGACTTTTAGTATTCAATCATATTTCTAATTATACAATCGTTACAATTCTTAATTTCTGTATTCAATTGTGTATTGAATGATATAATAAAGAAGAATAACAATAAAAGGACGAGAGAAACAGAAATGGAGAGAGCATCTTACTATGATAAGTCTAATATGCAATATGGTTGTGTGAGAATTGTTTATGCTAATCTAGCATTGCCAAACATTGCCAAGAAGCAAGGTTAAGGACAAGTGCATACACTGTATTCCAAAACTCTCAACTGTTGAAGTCGGGTGACACTAAATTAGCATGCAACCAAATGTAGATTTCTCATGAGGTTACATAGGTTTTCCATTCCATATTTTTAAATTTTATTTTATTCTGTTAATTTGGACAAATTAACGAGTGCATTCAGATCTAAAGGATATATAGGAGGAGAGGTTTCAACATGACAAAATACGGATTTTAATAGAAAAAAAAGTGGCAGTGCGGCCATAAAGGAGGCAGAGGTGATGGCAACAAAGGCAAAACTGTAGAGATGCGCCAATCGATCTTTTCTTTTATGTGCTTTCTCTCTATGATTTTTTTTTTGTATTTGTACGGAAGAGAAGGATTGTATCTTTTTATTTTTATTTTTAATTTTGTAACCTATTTTCCGTTTCAAACTGGTTACGGTTGGCATCCTTTAAATTTTGAGCCAAAGCCTTGTATATGAATGTGGATTCCAATTAATGAGCGGAGATTCTTACTCTTTCTCTTTCTCTTTCTCGTTTCTTTTCTTTTCTTTTCTTTCACAAAATTAATGATTAATTTTGTGACACTCCATACTTTGCTATTATTTAAATATGTCGTGTATGTTTTTAATTTGATCTCATTTTTACCCAGCAGATCAGTCGGACTTTGTGATACTTTTATCACATTTTGCTTCGTAATACTAACTTCTTTGTGATTACTCTATTATGGTCACCTTCCTTATTTTATTTTATTTAGTTATAACTTTTTTAGTCCATTTATTCTTCTGGATTGTAGTTGAGGACATTCTGAGTAATAGCATATTTTTGCTTCAACAAAATTTCAAGAATATCTCATCATTTTTGAAATTTTATAGATGTCTTTTAAGGCCGCGCGAAGCGCGGATCATTTCACTAGTATATGTATAAATAACATTACTTTCTGCTTTATTTTAAAAATAGCACATTCATTTACAGTTACAAAATTTATTAAGATACTTTACATGACATTAGATTTTTAAACGTAAAACTAACCATAATTTTGGATTATTGAACCACATTAATTTATCACAAAATTCTCTCTCGTCATTAATCTAAACTTGCCAATTTTTTATTTTTTTTTTTGAAATTTTCCTCCGAATAGGTGCTCTCAAAAAGGTTCCATTTCTCATTATTCTCTCATACACAATCTAAATCAATATATATTCCATTATTATAGCAATATTATTTAAAGTATATTGCTTGCGAATACGAGTATACCAATATTATACCAAATACATTACATAAAAAACAAATGCGAAACATTATTATTATACCATATATGTTACCTACAAATAACTTACATAAAAAGACAATGTACATTATACAAATATTATAGATACATAGTATATTTAATTCACAAATAGCAATAAATACCTAATTATGCCTTTAATATACAAAATTATACATTAAAATTTCAAAGAAAAATTATTGTTGTGAGGAAAAGTTGTGTTCCTTTAATGGTTTGGACTAGTAGGAGCCCTGCCAAATAAGGTTAGGATTTTTACGATACAAGAGAATATGTTTAGGCACGAAAATAGGAGGATTTCGTTTGCCGCTTTTGGCGTGATTATTGGTAACTATTGAATGGTATAGTTTACTTTTGTAGCTACCGGGTGTTAATTCATTAATGGTGTTGTGATTTTGTAAAAACTTTTTAAATGTCGTCTATTATGTTTTTTGCTCAAAAAATTAATCGTAGGATTCTACCGCACTAGGTTCAACCCAAATAATATTCTTGTTATGCCAAATATGAAATCTTAGGCAATCTCACATCGGCAAAAAACAAAATAAATGCTTCATATATAAGAAAACAAGTCTTAAAGTCTACTATCATAGTCTAAAGCCGGATGAATCTAAGCCCAAAGTATATAATATTACTAGTGAGTTGGACTATTACACCAAACCATCAATAAATTTCGCACAACTAATTTCACACATGCATTGTGAAAGAAGATAAACAAACATTTAACAATGTTTGCCAATAAGCGAAGAAAACTGAGAAACTATCCAGTTTGGTCTTTCACAGCAAAAAATGCTAGTAAAATTAGCCAATTCATAAAATGCTACTAATATTAGTCAATGGTACCGAAATTAGTCCGATTGGCTACCTGTATGCTTCTCCCTCCATTTACTCTACCTCCCCCCTCCTCTCTTCTCCCTCTTTGCAAAATTCTACATGAATAATCAAATAAAATTGTTTAAGATTTTAGTGTAGAATAATTTGTGGTATATGCAATAGTAAAGCAAATTATACCTACAACCACAAGATATATAGACTACAATGATGACAATTTATCAACCAATTTATTCCTTTTTATCATCTTAGTATTTTTGTTTTCTGGTGATTCCATTTTGCATATCCAACAACAAAAATATTTTTAAAAAATCTTCATTTAGAAGGTACTTAGAATAGTATAATTACATGAACCACACTATCACGGTGCTTATACTATAAATGCATGAATCTTATATGTAAGAAGAACATATATCTACTTGGATTTTATTTATTTTTATTTGATTTTTAGGTTGTTTGGAAAGTGAAAATGATTAGTTAAAACTCCATTGAAAGTTATTCATGCTCGCTTAAGCTTAAATTTAAAATTTTGAGTTCCAAAATTAGAATTTCTTTCGAGTGGATGTTATTGAAAGAAATCGGGTACATCTCATGGAGTTTGAATCTTAGTTTTAGGATAATTTGGTAGAAATTTGAGGTGATTTAAATTAAAATTTACCAAATTTGAAGTAGAAGATGAACACGAAAGAAGATGATATGTATATCCCATACGTATCATTTGTGTAATTTATATGTATTAGATGTGTATCCTCTGTATATGTATGTATACATGTACGTGAGATACATGTGTCGCAAAGAAAATTATAAGCTCGATCTCAACTACAAAATTTGACTCCCAACCAATCTAGATCACCTTCAATCTTCCTCAAATTTGGTATATAACCTCATCTATTTATTTTCAACAAATTCCAACCATATCCATCTGGGGGAAAAAGTCTTTTTTGACTAGGTTTTCTTAGTGTTGTATATTATTGGTAACGAATTTCGACTCCAAACCCGTCCAAATTACCTTTAATCTTTCTTAAATTTTGTATATTGCCTCTTCTATGCGTTTTTTTCAACAAATTCATTAAATATATTTTTTTTGCTAAGGTTTTTGAATGTTGTAAATTATTGATGACTTTTTTTTAACTATTTTTGGTAGCATGACTTAGTGGCTAATTATTGGTGAATAGTATCTATTTGTTGCTATTTCTGTAGTTCTCTCAAGAAACAAATCGGTGACTTTTTAGTCAGGGAAAACCTGTCTATCAGAAGAAAGAAAATGTTAAACCTTTAATCAAATGAAAATGGATGAAATACTATTATTTTCAGATCTGATTCCACGCGCGGCAATGACTTAGTTTTTTATTTTAATAAGTCAAACAATTTATTGATAACAACTAATTAAGGAACTAACATGGTCTTGGAAATTAGTAAAGGGTATTGTACAAGTTGTAGGTTAAAAATTTACACATTCAATGCAGCCCAAATTATAAATAGGGGCTGTTCCAGGATATCAAGTCACACAGACAAATATAAAAATAGTTAAAGAGCTGAACGCAAAACATTTCCACAATCTGATTCTTAAGTACGTGATATATGGCTGCTTATATTGCTGTAATTTCTCTTCTTAAAACTCTTGAGCAACTTCAGCAGAGAATTGATCCAAAGCTCATTCAAGGTCAAACTGCTAATACGCTCGATTATCTTCATGCTACTGCTGAATATTTTCATAATGTTGTTGAAGAAACTAGAAAGAGTAGGTTTGATCCTGAAAAAGTCAAATCTTTGGAGGAAAAAATAAGAGTTGCTGCTAGTGATGCAGAAGATGTTGTTGAGCTGAAGATTGGTCAACTAATCAAAGGCTCAAGCTGGATGTTTGGCATATCACATATAATTTTACACTGGAATTTGGTATCAGTTGTTAAAAAAATTGATACAACAAAGAAAGAAGTGATGGAGATTATTTCTGAATTTAGCACTAGTACCCATGATGTTGAGGATGAAATTGATGAATTATCTGGGGATTCCTTGATTGGCACTTCTCGAAGTGATCCAATGCTGCCAAATTTGGAAGCTGCCACTGTGCAGGGGCTTGAAGATGACTTGAAGATCATAGTTAAAAGATTGACGGGACCACTGTCAGCGCTAGACATTGTCACTATATCAGGTATGGGTGGTATTGGCAAAACAACACTCGCTAGAAAAGCTTATGATCATCTCACAATCAGGTATCATTTTGACCTTCATATTTGGGTTACAATATCTCAAGAATTTCGATTTAGAACTGTCTTGTTACATGCTTTACATTGCATCTCAAAGCACACGAATATTTTCAATGCAAATGATTATGATAAGATGAAGGACAGTGAGTTAGCTGACCTGGTGCAAAAAAAACTAAAGGGTCGAAGATACCTTGTTGTTGTTGATGATATTTGGAGTACGGGTAATTGGGATAGTCTAAGAGGAATATTTCCCGAGTAGTCGAATCTTATTGACTACTAGGGAAACTGCGGTAGCAATGTATGTGGATTCTACTAGCCCTCATCACATGAACTTATTGAATTTAGAAAATAGTTGGAAGTTACTTCGTGATAATGTATTTGGACCAGAAAATGATCATCCTCATGAGTTGGAAAAAATTGGAAAGGAAATAGTAGAAAAATGCAAAGGACTACCATTAACGATTTTAGTTATCGCAGGGTATCTTTCTAAAATGGCCAGGACATTAGAAACATGGAAGGATGTTGTCCGAATCTTAGGTGAAATCATTGCTAGTCATCCAGATAAGTGCCAAGGAGTGCTTGGTTTGAGTTACCACCACTTGCCTAATCATCTCAAGCCTTGCTTTCTTTCTATGAGTTGTTTCCCAGAGGATTTTCAGGTTGAAACTAAGAGATTGATCCAACTATGGATCGCGGAAGGTTATATAAGGACGTCTCAAAGTAATAAAAGCTTGGAGGAAGTGGCAGTAGATTATTTGGAGGATCTTATTGGCAGGAACTTGATAATGGTTAGAAAACGGAGATTCAATGGTGAGATAAAAGCATGTGCAATACATGATCTGCTGCATGAATTTTGTTTGATAGAAGCTGAAACAACAAAGTTTATGCATATTGACAAAAACTACTCTTCTCTTCTAACACAAAAGCAAAATGTTCGTCGGTTCAGTTTTCAAATCCAATATTATTCAGTAGATGATTGTTGTAAGGTATTACCCCCTGTTGCCACATCTATCTGCTTTTCACGATTGTATCCTTACACAACACGTGTTAAGCTTTTCGGGATATTGCCCATCTGCCATCCTTGTACTATCGTACAACAATTTTTCTCCCATTTCAACCTTCTTAGGGTATTGGCCATCTTTCATGAATCTGAAAATTTCGATTCCTTTCCACTCGCGATTACAACGTTATTTCATTTGAGATATCTCCAAGTTGGATTTAACGACGATATTCCTGCATCAATCTGAAAGCTTCAAAATTTGCAGACTCTAATTCTTAGGAATCAATATCGTTCTAAAACTTTACCAGGGACGATATGGATGATGAAGAACTTAAGCCATATACATTTGGAGGGAGCCTATTGTATAACCAGTCTTAGAAGTAGCATTCGAAATAATCATCTTGTGACAGAGATGCCAAATCTACAGGAATTTTCTGTTCTTTGTACTACTAGTTGTACAAATGAAGTCTTTTCTTCCATTCCCAATCTAAAGAGCCTGATTGTCCGTGACCATGTGGGCAACGGCCTCATTGATATGTCTAGCTTAAGAAAACTGGAAGCTGTTGAATTTGGCAAATCTTTTGTCCCACATCGGTGGGAAAAGAAGGGTTGGGGGGATTTTACCCCTATAAAAGAAGGCTTAATGTTTAGGATTTAAACACACCTCTCAT